CCCAAAAACCTAACAATCATCGATCACTTTAAAACATTTTTCCCACCTCATTCTTCTAAGTAGATTAGGGCAGAATTGTTTTTTTCTATTTATATTTACAACATATGTCTTAGAATAATGACCAGTCTAAAGTAAATTTGGTAAGCTTTGTGATTAAGTTTGAATTTAAACCTACACCTTCTCAGTCTAATAGTTTGATCATACTGGTTCTTACAGTACATCCTTAATGGCAGTACCTTTTCGCCCCACAAAACAATTTGTCAACATTTTCAAGTGGTTTTACATACTCCTTCTGAGGCAGATAGTACCACAAAGCAGCAATAGCATTTTCTCCAGTATGTCTCCAGTGATGTCATGGATTTCTGAAAGCAGAGAGACAAAGGCCCCTCTGCTCACTGAGGGTATCCTTAGCCACCTTCAAACCCCACATCAAAGACATTGAAGATGAAATATTGGCTCTCCACAGGATTGTTTGTTTTCACATTTACTTTTAAATCATTATTATTTTCCCCTTTTCAGTATGGAAAAAGCTTGGCTGAATAAAACTAAGAGGAAATGGTGAATGGCCATATTCATTTCATCTGTTTAAATTTAATAAACTCAAAATGCATGTCATTGCCTTATGGCCTCCTGGAGGAGTGTTCCTAGTTAACTTCTTTTTTTCTTTTTAGGGTGACTCTGGGGGACCTCTGGCCTGCAAGCTGAATGGTACATGGTTCCTAGCTGGAGTTGTGAGCTTTGGGCTGGGTTGTTCTGAACCCAACCGACCCGGAGTCTATACCAGAGTCACCTCTTACATGGACTGGATTCAACACACTATAGAAAAGAACTCAGCTTCAAGTGGTGGTGTTCCTCTCTCCAATGGGACTTCTGTTGTCCTTCTCTTGTTTTTAATCTTTCTCCTGACCCCTCTCCATATCAGTGCTGTTCTTTTATAACCAGCTGGAAATGTAATTGTAACACAAGTACCATATAGCACTTAATATAGTATTACCATTCAGCTACAATGCAAAAATACCTAGTTCCAAAGGGAAAATATATTTATTCCTGTTGTGTAAAATAGGAATTTCCCCAGAGACTAGACTACATTAGCCGCCTGTTACCACTTTATCTTATTATTAACCACTTTCAGAATTCTGACTTGGTTATACATTTGATAATAAATGAAATAAACCCAGTTTGTTTCCTTGAATCATTAGGGATAGAAAGAAGGGGTTTGTGCCATGAGATAAGGACTTTCAAGTAAAATGTTCTTTATCCCCAAGTCGTCTTCTAGGAGCCTCTTCTACCAGCTTACCCAATAATGAACATGTTCAGACAACATGATAACCTCCATCATGGTTTGCTGTGATCATGGATTGTGCTGATTTGTTTTATAGTTCTGTCATCATGCTCATTGCTAAGCAGACACACACATACCCCCAACACCTAAACAGCCTACAGCTTGCTTTAGTTTACTTTTTTCTTTATCAGTAGGTAAAAGTTGGTAGCAGATGACACAAAAATGCTAGAACAAACCAGTGTCAGCTGGATGAAATTTTGGGGCAGTGGGGATACCTAAAAGAATTTGCATATGACACTGACAGAAGAAATCTATTCTATTTGCAACAATCACTTGCTGGCATGTATTTGTTGAGATTTGAATTCATTTTGCTTTTTTTAACAAGGTTGCAGGGAAGAAGACCTACAGTTAAAGTTTCTTGAGTTACTTTGTTTCACAATATTTGAGGCTTTCCCCCCTTTTATTCCCATATTCTTTTCATTATCTTATTAATTTTGAAATTACATTGTATTAATATTCTATACATCTATAGTTTTATTAATTTAACATAAAAACAATAAAAATAAAAAATGTGGAACCTGGCAGAAAAGTAAACACGTATAACTGGACAATGTGTCGCACAAATGCAGTCTTTGTGTCCCGTTTTATTTTCTCACACTTTCTCCTGTTATGATATTCCCTTCAGGCCATTCACTAATAAAATCAGGTAGAACAGGGAAGTCAGAAGAACTAATATTTAAATAAATTTAGAATAATATTTCTATGTGGTCACCTGACCCTAATGTAGCCAGCCGAAGAACAGTATTGTTTGCACGTAACATTGTTTTTGCTGTGGCACCATTAGGCCAATAATCTCATCTGCTTTCAGAAGTCCAGAACTGATCTTATGGAGCCTTCCCTCCTTATGGTTATATACTTCATGCTTCTTAGGAGAAGCAGTCTATTTTCAGTGTTCTGTAAAGTGCCAAGCATATATCAATAGTTTGGTAAATTATATAACAACACAACTATAGATGGGTACATTGGCTACTTATTGTGAAGGCTACGTCCTGTTTGATATAGGAAGCATCTACACAATGAATTAATCCTCTGTTATTGCCCAGGAAAGCAGGGTACTCAGCCTAGATTTCTAGTAATTTCCCTCTGTAGACACTTCCAAGATGGGGGTAGATTCTCTTTCACGCGAAACTGGAAATAACTTTTACCTAAATTATCCAATGTTCCTTTCTCTGTTTGTGGTAAAGGAGGCACCCACACATTGCGTAGAACCAAAGCGAGTTATGCTAGGGCAGATCAGAGACATAAGTAATCAGTTACTTTTTTCACCAGCCAAATGGAATTTAAAGGGGAAAAACCACATGCTGTAAAACTTGTCTTCCAAAGACAGTCTTGGTGGAGGTGTCTATATGAGTCATGTGATACCTGACAAAAGTGGGAAAAGACAACCAGGTCATTGTTCTACAAATTTCTGAAACTGGAGCATTAGTCAAAAAAGCTGCTATAGTTGACATTGTCCTGGTGGAATGAGCTATAGACCTCAAATAAAGATATCCCTGAAGCCCATAAGCCAGAAATATTTAGGCTTTAAATCAGTATGCAGGATATCCTGGATCTTAGAGAGGACACCATACATTTTTAATTCTTGAGTGGCTATCTGAAGGGAGGCAAAAAGTAAATGCTGTGTTGTGCTGGATGCCAATTGAAATGCCATGCTGCATACATTTTGTGGACACTCTTTCCAAGTAATAAAGTCTTGGGACAGAAAAAAGAAAATATCCTACAAATTGACAAGTTTACTTTGGAAATGAAAATGGATCTACTTAATAATAAGATTGCTGTTTCCTTGTCAGATACACATAGATGATCTCTGAGAAGGCCATGATCTCAGAATTTGTCTAGCAAATGTCACTGCAATCAGAAATGCAACTTTAAATGATAGAATTCTGGGATATTAACATTAGGATTCAAAGGCATGAAAGCCAGCTGAGTAACTCTGGGCCAGTCACTCTCTCTCAGCCCAACCCACCTCACAGGGCGGTTGTTGTGGGGAAAATAGGCAGGAGGATTAAGTGTGTTCGCCACCTTGAGCTATATAAATATGTGTGTGTGTGTGTAAATATAAATATAAATATATAAATATAATTGATGGGATAAAATAATAATGGTTGAAGAAAAAAAGCATTGGAAGAATATCTGAAGGACAGTGAAGAAGATGCACTGAAGCTAGTACACCATGAAGGCTTACTGAATACCGAAGAGACCAAACTGGCCTATAAGAAAGGCCAAATGAAGAATAGAAAAGAGACATGGCAAGGCAAAATATTACATGGACGGTACACAAAAAAACTAGTAGGCAAAGCAGATAACAACCAGACTTGGCAATGGCTAAGAGCAGGAAAGTTGAAGAAAGAGGCAGAGGGGTAATTCTGGCTGCACAAGACCAAGCCTTAAGAACAAATGCGTG